TTTAATATTAATATTTTTATAGAATAAAAAATAATATTTGTAATAATATATATTTATTATAAGATAATTAAAAAAATTAGTATAAAAAGAAAAAAGACAACAAAAAGACAAAAAAATAAAAAATAACAAAAAATAAAATGATTACCTAACTACAGGGATGTCATTAGTATAAGATAGGGGTGCCATTAGCCTTCCCCTTGAATCACTTGAGAAAAAAAAATAAGACATGACTTCACTTTCCAGTTTGATATGTCATTTTTTTAGTATGTAATATTTATAGGGGGTTGATATCCCCACCCCCTACGTCACTTTTCACCCCTTCCTCCTCACACCAACCCTCACTCTCACCCTCACAATTTTCCCTACCTCTCACCCTCACCCTCACATACTCACCCCCTACACAATCTCACCCCCTCACATGCACCCATAGGAGGGGGTGGGGTTAGAAAAACCCTATTTATATACGGCAATATTCACGCACCAATTTGATAGTCACTTCCCAGCTTGATCCAAGTAATCAAGGATACCACTCACATACATTATCACAAGATTTGCAGAATCTCGAAATAGATTAGAGTCAGTGGCTACGGTTGCAGTCCATGTGGCTAGTCACTCTACAGCTATTCACACCAGAGCTTATCTACCCACTACTCCAATTGTCTAAACGATCCCTTCGGTACCTTTATCCAAACTCTAGGCCTTCTCTATGCTAAATTTACTTGTAACTAAATAAAGATGTCTCATCAACAGCCAAGCAGAAATATATCACGAGACCCAAAAATAAATGGTTTATGGCACTTTTATCAGCCAACTTCCAGAGCTTCTATATCGTAGATAAATGTAGCAAATAAACCATGTATTTAGAAGATTAAAACTCTGAAGGAAACAGTTTGCTGGATAGTGACATGATATCTTTTAAGGTTTTGATGGTGATATATGATCTGTGGATTCTTATTCAACAAACTGGGATTTCACCAACCCCTTCTGTACCTGATATCTAGACTATAGACGCAAGCACGAGCAGAAAGTTCACTTAGATTATACAAAGATTATATTCCATACTAATATAAAGCTCCAAGACCAACATCAAACTCCAAGCTTATTAGAAGGGAGTGACCGGGAACGTTGTATATCTAAATAGATGAATATTACATCACTAACCTGCCCAGTATAAAAGCCACTTTTGTTGATCATCCTGATTATTCGTCTCAATCGCTTTAAACGTAGAGTAAACAGGTAAAACAACGCCCACAGAACAGCTGCAGAAAGAACATGATGTTTTATGGTACAAACAATGAAGCTTATATACTTTATTTCACATCAAAAGACACAAGAACTAATAAATTTAAGTAATTGCGGCTAGCCAGAGGATGACGAGATAAAAGATGAGAAGTGCTAACAACATTTATTAGATCCTGGCAACAAAGTCTTTATATCCTGTATCAGTGCAATTATGACAAATGATATACCATATTATTCAAAGAATCCATGCATGGATTACTGGAGAATGACCATTTGACTAAATTAAAACCTTACCATGCTGTTCTTACAACAATGTTGGAACCAAGTGGACAAAGAAGCAGCCGTAGACCAACCTGCATTAGAAATCTATAGCATGAGTAGCTGCATTTGACATGCATTACATAGAAAGTCCCAAATGTATTGAATCGTCCTCATTCTGATATTGCTATGGTTCTAGGCACCAATAATATGTACTTGCCATTTGCCCTTGGGCATTTAGCTCAATTGGCAAAGGGGCGAAGCAACTTCCTCAAATACACAACGGGTTCAAGTTTGAATTTTGAGGGAGACAGGCTTTAACCCCTCCGCTAAGCTCTGAAATGCCTCCTCATATGTGGTTCCTAGCAACCTTTTTGCTCAAATATGTATTTGCCATTTGCCAACACCGTCAACCTCAAAGGTTGGGTCCTCACTTCTCTTTGTTTCACACAGATTGCTTTAGTTCAACGAGTTCCTCCATCCCAAACATGTTAATTGTTTTTTCTTTCATCTCCGAAAAGTTTTTTTCCATAAAACCCCGTATATGTCAAATGTGTTATTGATTTCGACAAAACAGATCAAACAAACGTTCTAAATATTGAAGCTAAAAAAAAAACTCGTTAGACACACAAATTTGTTGGTACATTGCAAGCCAGAAACTTTGATTAGTCCAGTTTTTCCAACACATTAATAAAGATGACCATATTCATCGAACAACATGATGAAATTCCATAACATCCTCATAAATCAGCATGCTCTTTTCATCTGCTTTTTAGTTTCTAATGTACCATAAGTTTCTATTCTAATACAGCTTATCGATTTTGAAGTTAATAATAAGGTATTTTTTGGAACGAGCCAACGAGGTTATAATGATCAAAAACACATGCCGATTCAAGATAAATTGTTAGGAATAGCGAAATCAATCAGCCTACGGAATTTGAAATCGATTACCTCGCTCGGCATATTTGACCCTAGGATCGACATTGGATGGAAACCGAGGACCTGCAATCAGATTCTGTTAACGATACAGTGATCAGAACTTTCGAATTATTTGATCCAAATAGCAGATTTCAAACATGTAATAGGAGATTTGAGGCGGAGACCGTTGTTTTTCCTTTTATGTTGTTGATGGTACCCGTTGTTCGACCACGGAATTATGAGAACATATTTACACTCCAGTCCGTTAACTTTTCCATATGTACTCAAAGGTCCTTCAACATGATTTATTGTTTATGTAATATTTTTGGACATTTTGTTTTGGAACTTGAGTTTAATCCAATATGACAATTGATAATATTAATAAATTAATTGGACACGTAACAACTCAGACGTCCAACAACTCAGACGTCCAATTTAGTCTCGAGTTTATTCTTTTTACTTTTAAACTATTTCTAATTGTATAATATGAATTTGGATATCAGATGTATTGAAACTCTATATTTTTTTGAACTTCGTACACTTTATTGTTGATTTTATAATGTACTTTTTAATTTATAATTATTGGATTGTAGACATAAAGTGCGATAGGTACAACTGCATAAACTGCACTGCACCAAATTTGTGGTGCGGTTTGAGGTTTGGAAAAATGTTCAAACCGCATGTGTAGTGCATTTTATGGTTTAGCCCAAACTGTATCAAACTGCACCGCAAACACCTCTAATTTGAGATCAGGAAAATCGGTTATTTGTTACTTAGAATTCAAGTTAAGAATGTGAGAATAACAAGAGATTAATATTGCCCAAGATGGTGCATAATCGACGAATGTGAATAACAATGATCAAAAAAGAAAGTTATATATATATATATATATATATATATATATATAGAGAGAGAGAGAGAGAGAGAGAGGAGAATAATCAAATACGAACCACAAAAAGATTGAGAACCAACAATCATATGTTGTTTCACATTGTGAAACATGTGGTATTTTTTTCACAATATGATTATTTCTAATGTGTATATTGTGAAACAACATCGTACTTTCACATAACATGAATTGTTTTACAATATGAAACAACAACATTACTAATTCTCACGATTCTCAGTCTTTTTATAATTCCAATTTGATTATACCCCTATATATTATGTACGCGGGCCAAGCTGGGTTGGGGAATACCATCCCCGTCCCCATCCACCTCCCGGCTGGTAGAAATGGTGTACTAAAAGACCCTAGACCCGGTTATGCAGGATATCCCCATCCCCGACCGAATCGGATAAATCGGGTCCCAACTGGTCTGGATAAACAGTCAAACTACCATCCTAGTTTCCACTTCTTAATATCCTTGAACAAACCATTCATGGATGATATGTAAAATTAGTACCTCTATGTTAAACTCTGCTGCATGCCTGTTACAAAATTTCAACCCAACACTCGGAACTCCGAACATCAAAATTCATGCTCACAAGCGGTATAGCGGATCCCTTCATGGACCGATGAGAACGGACTGCAAAGAATTCCAGCTTAAAACGACCATAACTTGAATAATAATAGTTTCAGTAACATTAGAAACACAGTTGCATCTCTTCTTTGTTGTTCATTTCCGCAATCAAGAGATCCAGAATACCATAAGTAGCTTCAGCTTCTGAATGATACGTATCGCCAGATGTGAAACTATGAACGTTACTCCCAACATGAACCCAACTGCAACCCGCAACCTTACTAACTTCATTCGATCTCATCTTCTTCCTTATCCTTCCCATCTCCTCCCACTCCCCTTCTGAAGCATAAATGTTAGCCAACTGCACGTATCTCGTAACACTGTCTCCCCCAATTCTGAGCAACTTTTCTTCTGATTCTCGTGCTATTTCAAGATTCCGGTGAAGCTTACAAGCATTCAAGAATGTTCTCACTACAACCACATCCAATTCTCTTGGAATCTTTCTCATGAACTCCATTGCTTTCTCAAGTTGATTAGCTCTCCCATAAAGATCGATCATGCAAGCATAGTGATCCATTTCAGGTGTTATCTTGTACTCTTCTATCATTGACATGAAATAACTTTCACCCGTTTCAACTAAGCCACAGTGACGACAAGCTGATAAGATCGCAATGAAAGTTACTGTATCTGGGGTGAAACCACTTCTGACCATATTATCGAAGAGTTGAAAAGCTTCAAGTTCATAACCATGGTGAGCAAAACCAGCTATCATGATATTGTATATGACTGAATCTCTAAATGTGAGCCTTTCAAAGATTCTCTTTCCATACATTATGTTCCCACATTTCGAGTACATGTCAATCAACGCGCTAATTGTTTTCTCATCCATGTGAATGTTCATTCTGAATAGATAAGAATGTACCTGTTTTCCAAGATCCATGGTGGCTTGTATTGCACATGCACCAAGAAAGCTGGCAAGAATCGAACCATCAGGAACTGTTGTTTCTTCGGTATTGAACAAGCGAAATAGCTCAAAAACATCTTCAATGCAATGCGAGTGCAAATACCCAGAAAACATAGCCGACCAAACTACAGGATTCTTTACAGTTAAAGAATCGAAAATCCTTCGGGCTTCTTTCATATTGTGTTGTGAAGAGTATCCCACGATCATTGAAGTTGTTGCAAACTTGTTTTCGGTACCAATTAAAGAATTGGCTGATTCAGCATACTTCATGTTACCACACTTGCAGTAGACATCAACGATCCCGCTACTAATGAAAGGATTCAAGCTCGTTATCTCCTTCAAGATTCTAGCATGAAGTTCTTTTCCCAACTTTAAACTCTTTAAAGAAGAGCAAGCACTTAAAACACTAGCAAAAGTGTGCTCATTCCATCTAAATCCATTATTTGCCATACAAACAGCCAATTCAATGGCATCTTTACCACACCCATTTTGGGCATAGCCTGTGATCATCGTATTCCACGAAACCACATCGTTAAACTCCGGCTGGGTTGAGAAAAGTTCCATGGCCATGTCTAACCTTCCTTCTCTGCAGCAAGCAGCAACAACTGCATTTTTAGAAACCACATCCACTGACCCACTATAACATCCATTAAAGGCCTCGTAAGCTTCACTAAAGCACCCACATTTTGAATACATATCAACGAGAGCACTGACTGCAAACCCACTTAGATTATTCCCAGTTTTCACCATGAACGAATGCAATTGTTTCGCGTGGCGTGAGTTCCGTAGTTTTGCAGTCAAGTTACACATCCTGGTCAGACTAAATTCATCAATCAGCCCATCATAACCCACAGAATGCATCTGCATAAAGAAATCAATCGCCGGTTTTTCATAGCCATCACTGTTTGCATAACCCGACAACATAGAATTGTAAGTGACGGAATCTCTATGTGGGGCAGCGTCGAACAGACCCTGCGCCTTAGCCAAGTTATGGGACTTTATATGGGCAGAAATTATGGCATTCCAAGTGAAGACGTTTCGGTCAGGCATTTCATCGAACAGGTTGCAAGCTTCTTGTAGTAAGCCATGCTTGGAGAATAAATGAATAAGCTGATTGCAAGAAAAGACTGTAGGATTGTAACCGGATTTTATGGAGTAGCCGTGAAGAATGAGGCCGTTGATGAGTAACTTCATTCGTGAATAAGATCATCTCCCACATCAACAATGAGAAACTCGAGAAGTTTATAATGTAGTTATTAATTAATGCCTCCACCACCATTGACAATTTTAATCAGACCCTGGACCCTGGTTTTGAGACCCGACCCAGTTTGGTTGAACCGGTTGACCATTTCATAGCGGCTGATGGTCGAGTCAAATTACACAAATAACCCCATCTATCGAAAAGCTAAAAATAGCCGATCCATAAGGTAAAATCCTCTAATGTGTCCACTCTTTCGAAAGATTTTTTTAAGTTTTTTTTGACTGATTTTGAGAGATTTTCGTTTTTATTTTTGGTTGAGTTTAAGGAACTTTTTCGGTTTTTCGGTTGATTTCAAGACACTTTTTTGATTAATTTTGAGCGACTTTTCGGGTGCATTTGGTACACTGGACAGGGACAAGACAAAACATGATAGAGATCCATGTTCCATGTTTGGCATTAATTTTATGTAGAACAGACAGAAACAGAGTGGAATAAAGTGAAACAAACTTATATTTTACCAATATAACCTCAAGATAAACTTAATTCTCTTCTAAAACATCAGATAGGTCTCTTTTTTACATTTTATTCTTTCTTTAAATTTTATTTATTGTATTTTATGTTTTTTAAACTTTAATTTTACCATCATCAAAATATTATTTTTATACGGTTTCTATATTTTTATTAATTTATGTAATTTATTATATATTAATAATAAAAAATAATGTAGAAAAAAGATAAAAATAAAAATAGAAAACTACATAAACTTTTTATTTGGTGTCATTTTAATTGTTTTGACGAAAACATCAAATGACATATTTTGTTATAAAAATAATTATTCTATTATAATTTAATAAATTACATAAATTAATTATGATAAACAACTCATCGGGGGTAAATTGGTCATTTTACTTGTTTTATTTTGTCCAGTTTTATCTTACCAAACGTTGAACAGTTGTCATGTCCTGTTCTGTCATGTCATATCATGTCCTCACACCAAACACACCCTTCAGGTTTTTGGTTGATGTTCCTTGTATTTTTTAATATCTCGGAGCACCCTTAAAAGATTAAAAGGTGCATCTTTCATAGTCTACAAAAATTATATTTACGAAAATAAGTTAAGAAGGTACAGAAGACCTGGCTTGGAACTTAATAGCTCTGCCATAACAACTCATATTTTATAAAAGTTCGAACAATGGTACATCCATCGACTCGTTGACTTGATGGGGTTATTGATTTAATAATAATTCATGAAGAAAAAAAAAAGTAAGTTGTGAAATATGAAGTACACGATGCTAATTTTTGTTTTGTAAAAAAACAGTTTATTTATTTTTTTGACATTAAATACGTATTATTTACGGAGTTCATTTAGCTTTAAAGTACGCAATGTCCATTCTGGCCATAAATTCATTGCAACCATCTACTAATGAAACTCACAAGTCAATTGTAGGGGTGTTTTTCAATACAATGTGGTTTAAAGTCAAAATCACAAACTAAATTAGATATACTAATTTGTTCCGCTCTGTTGAGAAACCTGATTCACTAGCCTTGTTTGGGGTTAGGGATTCCTCATTCGGTTTTGAGGCCAGCAGTTCCTCACTTGTTGAAAACCAGGCCGGGTAACATATTCCCAACCCGTCTCGTCCCCGTATACATATATATATATATATATATATGTGTGTGTGTATTATATTTTTTAATGTGTTATATAATTTGTTATATTTTTCAACCAATTTTGATTATTTTTTTTTTACCGGAAGTGGATCCAGGATAAACCTAACAAAAGCCGGGGAGAGGATTCTATTCCTCGTACCCGCCAAGGACCAGGGCCGGGATGAGATAGTGGAACCGAGGCCGGGGATTGCCCTTCCTGTTGCCATACTAACTAATTACATGTTCAGTTTGATTATTTTTCCAAACTGTAAGATGCTTTAACTGCAAGATGCAATGTGCTGTATTTTGTGTTTAAATACAATGTTTGTAAAGAGGTAATAGGAAGTTTCATAGTCTTTATATCCCATTCAGAATAAAATACATATTTATATACCAAAATACATGGATTATTCATAAAAAAAATATTATATTAATCGTAAATCTATCTTTTTTTTTTTTTGAAAGAATTGTAAATCTATTTTAATAATTTGGTATTATCACAACTTTATTGTAGCTTCAATTATCATTAAGGCATTGTTTTTTAAATTATACATTTGGATGGACATAAGCTTATTGTCATTTTTTAAAATTTAATTGTTGTTTATTAATATTAATTATAAATAAATAATAGTTATTAGTAAATATTAACTAAAATTAATTATTACTGATATTAATAAATATTAATTAATCTTAATTATATGTCATACATTAATATTAATTATTAAGTATTTATCAATTATTAATAATAATATCAGTTATTTTTGTAATTATTCAATATTTTTTTTATCATCAAAAAGTAAATATAACAATTCTAGAAATGTTTATGTAAATTATCTAAAAATTAAAGTTATACTTATTTTGTTTGATAGATAATAAAACTATGTTAAATATTTTGAATAAAATTATTAATTAGATTTTTTTTTGAAAAAATTGTAGATTAATTAAGATATGTTATGTTGACCAATTATATTTTATTTTATTTCATATTATATGTAATGCTTAATTGCTTATTTAAAAGCATAAATTAATGTAGGTTATTTTTAAAATTTATCTTAACATAACCAAAATTTATAATATATATATATACTTAGGATCATGTGAGATTAAAGGTTTTTTGTGAGACTCGTAAAACCAATTCTCAACCATTAGATTAAATCTACAATATAAACATTCATAATCACAAAATTGCCACAAGACTTCTCAATAATCACAAAATTATCACCGTGCAACTTTAGACCATTTGATCATTAGCTTATAAAGTTGATCAATGAATATAAATTAGTCTTACGGGTTTCACGAAAAACCATTGGTCACATGTGAACTCAACCATATATATATATATATATATATATATCTTATCTTACTATCTTATTAAGCAAATTTAGCAAAAGTCTTAAAGTCTTAAAATATTAAATGACCAAGATACCCTTTATACTACCCTTACTTCACTTTTTCACCCACTCATCTCCTCACATACACTCACCCCCTTATAAGGCGGTTTTTTTAAAATTATAATTTTAAATTGACATTTTATACTCCTATAATTAGTTAATTAATTTAATTTACGTCTTTTACTTTTAAATGTTTCATTTTAAATATTTATCAAATTAACATACATAATTGTATATCAATTAAAACATGTTTAAAAAGTACATTTTTATTTTAACAAGTTACACCATTATAATCGTCTCGTTAATACTTTCGAAATGAGTCCAATATTGAGTAGTTTTTTACTTAATTATATTATTATATATTATATATACTGTGAAAAAATATTTTTAATATTTACGATTTATACTTTTATAGTTATTTATTTATATATATATATTATATATTTTGGGGTAAGGTTGTCTAAATTGCACTGAATAATATGTTATGAATTAATATATTCTTGGGTTTTTTTGAAATATATATATACATGTATTAATTCAACCTTAATCTGAGTTTTTGGACAAGAAAGAAGGTAAGCAGTTGAAATTTCATTCTAAAACCCATATTTTTTAGTCTTTTTCATGGCTTATGATCTGTCAAATTTGTAGTTTTCTTTATTGGTTTTGAGTGTTTATCTTAAAACTCAAGTTTCTTGGTTTTGCTCTTTGTGTAAATCGAACACATTTGTGGAGTCATTTAAATATATTGGATTTTAAACTGTCATATAATTTTTTTTCATCGATAATCTATAATTGAAACCATAACTCTTATTTATTCAAATTTTATTAATATGTAAAGACCAAGTGTAACTTATATCATCGTTACATCTTATCTTATAAAACCAGTGAAACTTCAAAATCGTTAAAATTCATGGCTCCCGCCGTATTGTACGGATACATAACTAGTATATAATCAATTTGAAAATCTTGTGATTAATATATTATACTATTTAATTTTTCTTTACTATTTTGTTATTATTATTTAACATATTATATTATTAAAAATTTATTTAAATTATATTATAAAATGTTGGAATTGACAAAAAAATTTAAAATGTCACTTTTTGTTATTTTACAAGTTTATCAACTAATTTTTATCAAACATAATTATTCATCAGTTAATTTAAAAATAACCAACTAGTTTATCAGTTAGTTTACTAAACATAAAATCTTACAATATTATCATAAAAATAACATGATCAAATACAAAATTGACTTTAGTATCTCTTAAAAAAATACTCAAAAATCCAATTTAATACATATAATACTCGAAACATTTAATTAGAACATAGATAGTACTAGAAAATTGGTAAATGAATATTGTCAAAGTATTCAAATAGTATTTGCATTCGAAAGAAATCATACATGGAGTTCAGTTCCCCCCCTTAGCAATTAGTTATAAGCACGTTGACAAGCAATAATGTCCGTCCGAAAACAGCTTCAGGGGTTAACTCACTCACAATAAATCATGGTTTTATAACGATGACCGACAAAAAACAACATCGGCACCCAAATACACTGACCTTGCATCCTCTGCACAAATAGAAACTTTATAGATCAATAACAACATGATACACCAACTCTAACAGCTTCTCTGTTTTCAAGATTAGAACATTAATTATATCATTAAAATATTTCATATATTTTACCTCAGGACGGGGTGAGATAGGCGATCGAAATAATCGTACAAGGTTTTAATTTAACGTAGGTAGTTTATCAATTTATAAATCTTGTTTCATCTCCCAATTTTTGTTCCACCTATTTTGTTGGGCCAAAAGAAGTGCATTTTTGTCCTATTCAGTCCCGTCGTGTCCGAGTAAACATGGGACAACAAATATGTATTCTGTCATGTCATGTCACATCCTGTCCCAATCACCAAACGAACCCTCAATGTCATTGGGCCAAAGTCCTCTCAATCGTAGTTTTTAGTTACGGTTTTAAAAAAGAAAAATTCGGAAAAATACCTGCGATTTGCTCCAAACTGTACTCGGTGGGTACGTTGGTCTCTGCTTCAACTGCAGCTTTAGCAGCGGCTATTCCAACAGCAATACTTTGCATTACATCTAAACCTGCACAAATGGAAGCAACTGCACCGCCAACCAGACAATCGCCAGCTCCGGTTACCCTCACAACCGATGCAGATGATACGGCAGGAAAATGCACCACGTATGGGCTGCTACTACTAGAGCTTCCTTCAAGCCTTAATGCGCTAAAAAACCGGTCCGATGGGCAGTGTAGATTTATGGTTTCGTGCAACTTTTTGCTAAATTCATGTGACCTATTGTTCCTCTTTGGCCCGGTATGATGAAAGTTGAGGCGCCCTTTAGAACATAATAATACCCCTTTCGATCCAAGGGTCAGAACAACCACTTTAATGCCTTTCTCAAGCAAAATCCAGATTGCCGGTCTTAGCTGTAGAAATAAAGATGATGTTGTGCTGTTGTCCTTTTGGATGGGAGAAAATGCATCTTTGCAAGAGAGAGCGTTTGCCATGGCAATCAGTTCATCTTCGTTCGGTGAAGCAAAGGTTATCTGTTACAAATCTTCATGTTAATATACTTTCTAAAGTAAACTACGTTCTTGGTCCCACGGCATGTTACAAATCTTCAGTCCTTGTGGTTCATTTATTACAGTGGTGGTCACTGTGGTTTGCAATTCTTTTCGGTTTTGGTTCCGCAGACTAACTCCGTTCAAAAAATACATTAACTCAGGGGCATTTTGGTCTTTTTGTACACCAATGGAGGCGAATATAGCAACCACGCCTAGGAATTCATGCAGAATGTATGCATGTGTGTGGTTGTGTTTATGGAGTATCACCATTAAACAGCATTTCAGGCTTACTATTTTACGACTAACACCAAACTAAACTAAACTAAAACGAGCCTGGTATATTCCACCTGGAGATGGGGTCTTGGAGATGGAATCTATGCAGACCTGACTTCTACCCCAAAGAGTAGAGTGACCATTTCCGTAAAGACCCCTGGCCTATGAAAGGTGCGTGAAAAAGAGAATATTTTCCTTAAAGGTTTGAGGAAACTCACATACTTGGCAACTGAAACAATTCTTCTTGACTTTGCTACAGATACAGGCTCAAACCACACTGGGGTACCAAACTCTGCCGCCACTGTGAAGAAAAAATGACAATAAAACTTGTATGCATGTAAAAATTCGAGGAGATTGGTGGGTAATGGAGGGACATACATTCACAAGATGCTTGAAGAGCTGCTGGACTTAAATTCGCATCAACCATCACAATAGGAGTAGATGCTATATTCGATTTAAATTGTGCAATCCATTTGGGAGTAAGAAACCGTTCCTATGTCAGAAAACAAAATGGACACCTAAACTCGACATTTATTTATGAAAACTTTACGATTTGAAAAACAACTTACAACAGACTCAACACTTGCAACAGCAGCGGCCGGTTCTCCATAAGTATCAAAGACAATGCATACAACTGGAGTGTCTATCTCTTGGCCCATTCGAATACCTTAATTAAACAATTTTATAATTGATGAAAAAGATTTGCACCGGTAATCATTGGAGCTGTAAATTTCAATTTATTACTCAAAATTCTACCTTCCGTTGATAATCCTGCAGACTTCCAGTACTCCAACAGCAAATTACCTGTTAAAATTTTGAAAAACTATAAGCTGTGTGAGAACAAGTGTGATATCAATTGAAAAACGAATTTCGACTTGTGCCTCACTAACCAAATTTGGTCGATATCCTCTACTCCATAACAATCACAAGCAGTATTGTGATTTCAAATATGAAGTGGAAGAGGCCATGTGGGATTCCTAGCAATCATATGCCGTGTTAAACCAATACCAAAAGGACCCAGTAAATCCAACTCGAAGTAGGGTCTGGGGGAGACGTAGACAAACCTGACATCTACCCCAAAAATAGTGGTTGTTCCAGTGAAGACCTCCAGCATGTGCAAAAGTGTGAGTAAACATGTAGCAGGAATAAAGAGTAGCATATTGTGAACGGAGCACGAGAAAAAGAAGTAAAAAAACATAACAAAAAACAGCGTAGTGATTTCAAATATGAAGCCAAAGAGGTTGTGTCCATGCATACCATCAAATTACTCACCTGCCATGTCCAATCCTAATGTACTTATCATGCAAGGCTTCGTTCCAAGTTTCGATACACACTCGGCAATGTTCCTTGCTACTCCTCCCACTGCATAACACACCTAATAGAGGAACCAGTGGATTTAAATCAATAAGACTGCAAAATATCATATACCCATAGATGGATTCACCACTTGGAAACACCTTATGCTACTCTTTAGGATAGAGGTCGAGTCTGCAAGCATCTTACCCCCTAAAACCTACTAAGTCTGTTTGGTTTGGTTTATCATATTTCGGGGAGGGGGTGCAGGTTTTCTTCTAGTTATGCAAACCAAACCAAAAGTACCCGGAATGTATCCCACTCAGATGTAGGGTCTGAGAGCATGATGCACACTGACCTTTCTTTGCCCCGAAAGATAAGAAAGGTTGTTTCCATTTTCTTCTATTTGTGTTTTTGCTAAAACCAATCCACAGATTCGAAATATTAAAAACTTAAACATTACCCTGTAAGCTAACATTCTCGGCCATCAAAATGGATCGTAGACAACCATCTTTTACTTGGTAAGCAATTACCAACACTTGCCAAGTAAGTTAAGTGAGGTAACCAACCGCTTAAATAACAAACTTACAAAAAAATGAGTGAGATTTCAACAAATCCATACTCCCTTTTTGGGAAAAGAGATACAGTTTACAAATTACGAACCGGTTGAGATTTTACCAAGTTATGATCATGTTCAAATTGAAAGTGCAAATCACAAGGCATAACGTAATAACGATGACGATGATGATGATAACAAGACAAAGTTTAGATTTGACATCAGATTAATGTCGAATAGTAGCATCTCTGATTGTTCAAAGACAGAGACAGTGAGTATTGGGCATATACCTTTCCAGGAGAGGTAGTTCTAGGGTTTGGAGGAATAGAAGAAGTGGCTTGTATATCTAACACCATTCCCCCAATTATCACAGCCTCCACTTCACCTTCTTCTTCCTCTTTCCGATTTTCCCCCTGCACTCACTCATCCAAACACCAGAGTTATATGTAGACGAATAGTAAACAAAGAGAAGTTCGGAATTGAAAAATGGAGCGATCGAAGAGGGTAGATTTGTTGATATACGTGTGATTTTTGTCGAGAGTGATGGTCCATGCTGCCGCCGAACAACTCCCCTAGGCCCTAAATTGTCTCAGGCTACTCCAATATTACCGACGACGATGAACCCCACATCCATCTACGATCTATATATACCAAATCAAGCAATTCAATTATAGTAAAAGGACAAAAGTAGCCATACTTACTATTTTGACCAATTTTTCTATTATTTTTAAAATAAAATAGTCACTTCTACAATTTACAAAATATCATGGCAATTTTTTTATATTTTTATTGACTAAAAACGAATTCGTACAATGCAGTGGGATATATCTCGATTTTAATATTTTATTTTATTTATTTTCTCAAACGATAATATTTTTGTTTTGAACGAAATATAAATTTGAAAAAAAATGTATCGACATTAATATTAAATTACCTATTTAAAATTTCTTATTTTCTGTGTAATTTTTTTATTATAATTTAATTTAGATTTAATAATGAAGTAATTTATTTTTATTTAATAATATAATTTTTATAA